TCAGCGAAACCACACATAGAAACGCTGATGTGTTCATCACACACGTCTCGTGGCTCGTGTTCAGCTTGCGGTTCGTTCAGCTGAATGAGAGCTGCGGGCAGAAAGATGAAATTTCGGATGTGAAGTCGTTGTGTAAATGTTTTAACAATTTAGATAAAGTTAACACATTTCTTTAGAGGCTGTCCGAAACTGTAAAAAGCACTTTGCAGGACAATATAAATGGGCATTAGTTAGGTTAGTCTTTGTACACAAATACGTCTGCGGATGTGGCCAAGGGAGCAGCCAGTCGGAGGATGGCCTTGACACACATACACACAGAAGAAATTACAGAGCACAATGAACTTGGCCTTAAGTAAGCCAAGAACAAACATTTATGTGGGCTGATATTTTGCGAGGCATGCCATTGCCCATTGTTGACGCAATTCCCTAAAAACAAAGAGACCCCTAGACAAAAACCATTAAGAAAAGTTGTGATAGCTGTTTACAATTTACGTACAATTTACAATTTAAACCAATGTTTTGCAACTTTAAACATAACAATATTCAATTTGTAAAGCCTTATTTTAAATAAAACCCCACGTTTATTATGCTTATATGAAGAGAAAAAACTAGTAATAGGAGCCATCTTCGGCACGACGAAGATATAATACCCTTGCAGACCCAACCTTTCAAAATACTCATAGCACTTTGCCCGTGTCTAAAAAGCGCAGGGAAAATAGGTAATGTCGAGCTTGGGCAAAATATCTAAAAAACAAAAAAGTTTTCCTTACGAAAACTTTATTTTCGACCGATCGTTCCTAAGGCAGCACGCCAATGATTTAATGTAGAAGACGGGAAAATTCCAGAAGAAAAAATTGCACTTGAAGTTGAAGTTAAAGAGAAAATATCTTGGTCCGTAAAAAGTAATAAAGTTACACAAACCTGGCTGAGATGACGTAGATAAAGTCGGAGATGTAGAAGGTCCTTGCATAACATCTACTGTAGCTGAAATCATGAAAGGATTCGGGACGATTTCCATGTCAGGAGAACCGAATTTAGCTGTCGGAAAAGTTACAGGATATGGGTAAGTTTGACCAAATGAATTAAGCTTTTTAATATAGTAGCCTCATGCTGACCAATAAGTAAGAAAAATGTACGCAGTCTAAATCGAGGGTAGATTGTCTGACAGATCGATTGGCTAATCGAATACTTCTTGCTATCTCAATGTTGTACTGTTTTCTCTGTCAGGTGGGATCTGTCAGGTGGGATTGATCCCGCAAATGTTTGGTCGCTAGCGCTTGAAGTTGTTGTAGTTGTTGACCGATTCCGCGGAAATGGGGGAGCATGTTACAGGTTCGCTTTGATTAAGTCAAAGGAGAGTGGAGACCCGAAGTGTTTTTAAAGACGATTAAACAAGAAAAAAATATATTATTTATATTGAGAACAAATATCTCCTGAATCCATTGAAAATGGGACACGAGCAGTATGAGTTTGATTCAAATCTTATTAACGAATCGATATCGAAAATCTGTTTTTTTTTTTATGATTTCTCATAGCCCTTTATGTAGCCATCCATCAATTTGGATGCTGTATAAAATGAAAACTCTTCAAATGGGATAGACCCCTCTTATTAATTATTAATTAAAAATTATCAATATTCGAAGCACTCACAATGTAAGACATGCAAAGCAAATAAGAGTCAAATAAGATAAATTAATTTAGCGTTGAGTCTGCCCTGCTTCCAACCTACACAATCTAAATTAATGAGCGTCGAGTATTTCTACCCAAACCCTGACGACGAACACCAAAGCCATTCATAATGATTTGGCCGCCAGCTTATGAAATACTTAAATCAAAGAACGCCCACGTCCATCATTTGGCTACTAAATTATGCCATAAGACTGGGATGTCAGCCACTGCTGGCAGGAGTCTGTGCTAGACGGGACAACAGCAGGTTTCAGGCCATGTGGCATGGCCAGGTCAATGACATGTCAGCAAGCCCAGGACACGCGTCACCAGTCCTTATTTATCCTCGAAAATTACCAGCAACGCGTGTTTTCAACGCGTAACGATGTCCAGGATACCAAGCTTAACCGACACCAGAGCTTGGACCAGATGCAACTGTACATTTTTAATTTGAAAGCTAATAAGCGGCCACAAAATGATCTTAGTTACTTAATTTAGCCAATATTCAGCTAATCGGATAAGTCGCATATTGTAATCTTACTTCGTAGAATAGCTGTATAGACCGTACAATATTGTTTATAACCAAACAATATTATTTCTTAAGGTTAGACGAAATGTTGAATATTAAAAGCGAGGATTTTAGCCATTTTCCAAATAGGATAGAATCGGAACTACGAATCGAACCGTATCCCAAATCCAAACAATTCTAATTTCTTACATAGTTTGGATCGAAATAAAATCATGTTTTTGGATCTCAACAATTTATTGCATTGCATTTTTTATTATTTGAGTGCACCTTCTGAGTCGACAGTGATTGTTAGCGTACTTCCTATTTAATTTTTGGACGCTGATGCTGGCAAAGTAAATTATTAAATTTATAGACTTTGGCAAATGGCTTCGGGGAACACATTTTCTCCGGAGCAACTGCATCAGCTGGCATTAGTGCCTACCATCGCCAACGGCTGTCAATGCAGAATCAGTGAAACGACACTTAGGAATTCATTCCGTCTTAGGCATTCATAGCAGCTGCAACGTCGTTTTTCCAGTGCAACATGGAAAGGACACACAAATCGTGAATCTGGGCTGCAGACCCCCAATCGCCCCACGTGTCGCACTTAATGCACAAGCAGAAGAGTTATAATGGAAATAAAACGCCATACTCTCAAAATGTCAGAGCAAAGTGCAACCCCAAAGCCACGTTAGGGGCGAAGTTGCAGACCGAGTAGGTGCATTGCTAGATTTGTTAGGGGAGCACAAGATACGGCATCCATTTGCTTTATTTTTTATTCTCAAGTAGAGCCTGCGTTTGATGAATGGCGAAATACTAGTGAACGGAGCGTGGAGTACCATTATCAACGTCATTGTCTTATGGCATTAAGTGTACTTAAATTGTCACCTCAAAGGGACAATGTGAGTGATAGGGTGTGGGGTGGAGAGATTCAGCACTGCAGATACAATGAAAAGATTAGGGAAAATCGAATGAATTTAAACAACGATCTTTGGAATCAAAAGAGGTCCGATCGAATGGTCTTAGCGTGCACCTCCATCACAAAGGATAACTTCAGCATCCTAGATATCCGTGGGTTAGTCAGTAAGGAAAAACCGGTATATATATAGAGATACACAGAGGATGCAATAGATTATCCTTTAGGTGCTAAGTCTCAAAGATAAAAAGTTTTATTCGGATAATCATGGATATGATTTTTATTAAGCTGCGAATATTTGTATGTTTTCGCTGCTGCTGGCAGACCCGATAGGAACAACACGCTCGACCAGCTCAACGCTCATTTATAAACCAAATTAATTAAATAATTGCAGGGATTCTCAGTACAGGACATGGCGCAATAAGTAATGTACATAATGAAAAATAATGAAACGTTTCTGGAGCACATTCACATTCACAACCAGAGCCATAACCCAGCCTGTTGCTTATAATGCCGTGTGCACTAATGAACATAACACGTACGCCGAGATTCATGCGATTCACTGTGTACACAGTGCATTACAAGTGAATATACGCACACGCACATGCAAACTGTGCTTATAGTACGGCTTATATAAGGTGTTAGCATGTAGACTGACGCACTAATTAAGAAAAATTAGTTATTGATATGGCTTCCACGAGGATGTTGATAAGTTACGAGACAAAAGTTCATTTCGGCAGTCGGACATTTTAATAAGCAATGACAAGTTTTATTAAGTTTATTATAAGACAATAATTAACTCATATCTTAGTCTTATCTAAGTCAAACCATAACCAATTTCAAGAGATAAGAAAATAAAAAAAAGCAGACTTCAAAAACAATATTTAAATAAAAATGAAACCTTTTATAAAAGCAAGAAAGCCATATTTTAAACTGTTCTCAAATAAATATGATACTTTAACTACAAATAAACCCAAACATTTTACCCACATGTGTTAAGATATACATGCCTTTATATATATATTCAAATAACTAAGTTTTTCAAGAACACAGCGAATAAATATTATGGAAAAGCCGATTTGAAAAGTAAAAGCACGGACAGTGTACAAACTATTTTCACTCGCAACATTGCCAAATGGAAAAACATAAAATATTTAAATTATATATTATTACATTAGAACCCATTACCACCGCACTATTATGCAATGAATAGGGTATTTTATTGACAAAAGAATTTTAAATGCATCATTTATTGGAAAAAGGTGATGTAAGAATTTTATAATTGATATTCAATCAAGCTAGCATGCTGACTAAAATATCTTTAAAGTTGTCATATAAGTCTGTTTCTGACTTATTCTTAAATACATTACTGTTATCTTTTTATAATTGTCTATATTAATTATAAGTGAAGAGACGGCGATAAGAAAAAACGGACACTGCGTATTGTTCCTTATCCTACATATATATAGTTTCTATCGCCGCATATACTCCTCCTATGTCCATTAAAGAATAATAAAAACTATTTAAACGAACTGAATTTTTATTTAACATACAAATAAAAAATCATTTTATTAGCAGATAGCAACTATATTACGTCCACATTATCTGTCGAAATATGAGCTTGATTTTATTAAAATATAAATGAAAAATAATTCTTACTGTTGTGTAAAGTCTGCAAAGTTGCCCAAAATTAATAGCTCCCTATCAGCCAGAGTGCGACTGTTTGGACTCGTCGTTAGGTAATGTTTCACGATATTTTCCAAAGCTAAATGTATTTTGCTTGCGCACAAGGGTAATGAAGGCAAACGCTGGAGCTAGTCAAAGCTTGGAGTGATCCTTGGAAGGGAAAGGGGATATAGAGTTTTTTATGTCCCAAATAGCAAGCTCGTAGCAAGATCAGCTTGGTAATAATTAAATTTTGTAAATGTATTTGTGCCTTCCCAAAAATGTCAAGAAAAGCAAAATTCTATTTGTCGCCAAGTGAAATTCCATAAATCAAAAAACGAGACGAGCCAAAAACGAAGTCCGAGAATGAGGGGCAGAGACAGGGCTGAAGCACAGTAGAGACGACAGGGACATCATTTTGCATTAAACAAACAACAATTCATCATTTTTAAATACGTATACACATGCATATATACGTATTCTATGCACAGAGCCAAGCCTACGCACAAAATTGCAGCTGCGCAGAGAAGGAACATGCAAATTGGCAAAGCAAGCAAACAAATCTGCTGCAAAGTTAGCCACTGCTAAAACAAGAGGCAGCCTTTTCCAACAGAGTACAGAATTGCCCCAGATACAAACATGTCTACCAAACGATTATTAAGTCATCATTTATCACATCCTCCCTCGTCATTGTGTCACATTCTCCGCTAGAACGCCTGGCGACAGTCTGATGAACAGGAGTCGCAGGCTCTGGTGTAACCTTGCCATTTAATAAAATTCGGAATAGAAAAACCAAAGTTACAGGTTACACATAAATACATGTTTGCAAGGAAAGGAAAAAAAGGACAGCCATAAGAATACGCAAATAGGCAAAGGCTCTGAAGCTGATGTGTATGCACGTCGAAAGCTTAAGAGCTAACCCTTCCATAATTCTTAATATTCCTTTATTGAAATATGCAAGTTTGATTTGCCTGACCGGAAAAAACTTTTTCTATGTATGTGAATATCGGTTTTGCACACTAGTGGATGCTCGTTGAGCACTTCTCACTGCGAAACAAAGGGCAAACTAACGAGAAGACTACAATCAGTTAAAGAAACTGCGCGGTTGCCGCTTAAAACTCGGGAATATCCTATGGGACCCCTCAGTGACAGTAGGTAAAAGTAATTTTGTAACTCAGTCTCCCATTTCATTTCATCCTTTTGCTTTTTTACCATTCAAGAAAACCGCAAATGAAACTTTCACTGGGCTTCGTCTGACATTAAACTTTAAGTAAAATGTTTTTGCACCTGGGCGGAGCGTATGTCGAAGTTTTCATAAAAGGATAGCTTAGCGCTTGTCAAAAGTTGTCCAGAGAGAGCGAATCAGTTGGGACGGACAACCGCCGGACAGCTGAAAGGTTTGAGCAGCACAGCAGCAGGAATTTTTCCAACACTGCTCATGTCAGGTTTTCAAAACTTAAATCATTTTTAGCTTAGCTTCCAGCTTAAATGCATTTCTCAGACGTTTTCACCTGAAAAGGTTTCAGGCATCTAAGCGAATCGAGGACAAGCCCCTACACTCTGTGTTCTAATGTCAACATGTCAGTTGAGTGCGAGAACAATTTGTCAGCCAGTTGTGAATGACAGCCAAGCCGACGCTGGTATGAAAACGAAACACACACAAACACGTTATTTGACTATGTAAGAGAAACTGCCCAGGGCACCTGTCAAAACTCAACTGTTCAATATGTTGTGAGGTAATCGAAGCGTTCAAATTAGTATTCAATTATCCTTAAATGAGTTTAACAATATTATGCTGAGAACCGTTGCTGTCAAAAGAGCGTTCAAGCAGCCGGTGCCCTCAGAAAAAATAAAAAAAATTATATCATGCAATATTTTGTGCCCACCTGCACATACAATTTGGAACAGCGTGCTTTGAGTGCGCTTAATGAACCATAATTTAATTCATCTGAACCTTAAGATCTTAAATTCTTATTAGTAGTGAAGTACAAATACATTGGTAAAGAAATTTTTTTTTCCAGTGCGTGATATTCGTATAGTTGGCAAACACTATTTATTAATATTGAATAATTTCTGTGTAGTTATTTTTATTTATGATCTAATGTCTATTTTAAGTAGGCCTTTGTAGGCCACCAAGTTTTGCATGAAAACGCGGATTTAGTAGTTTATTTTGGATTGGAAAACAGAAATGAAGCTTATATATATAATCACCCGCTTGAGGCTCTGCTCAGGCTTTAATAATAAGCTTTCCAGCTACACGACACATCAAAAGTTGTTTGCAATTTATCTAATTTGCCTGCAAATAAATCGCTCTAAAAAAAAATAAAAATATGCAATATAAATAAGAAATGCCAAAACATTTTTAAAGCAAAAAAGCGAGTAACGCAACCTGCATTTGGTATTGGTAGAAGAGGGTTCAGGGCATCCCCTTATCGGGAGCTTCCGACTAGAGATTCATAGTCGTTTAATTACAAGCATGCAGTGTCCCTGCAGTATGGCCTCCTGGTCACAAGTGTCGTAAGGTGGTGCTAAAAGTTGATAAAGACATGTTTCTGCTTGTGGCTAAATGGCCTTTGGGGTCGGTTATCAATTGAAAATTTAATTAATGATCTCGGGTCATAATGGAAATAAATATTATTGGTCGCTTGCCTGAAAAAAAGCATCGAATTGGCGCTTTTGACGCTGACTGGAATAGCAATTTGATAGGAAGTAGTTAGGATGAGCAAAAGATATAGGAAAACGACAAGTTAATCTGTTATTTGAAGTTACACACACGCAAACTCTCAGAGGACTGTAATCGAATAAAAGAACATTAATGTCCCGGAAAATGACTGAAAAATAATAGGCAATTTTCGGGCGCTTTCGTTTCGATAATTCATTTATATATATCTGTATGATGAGTGCGTGTGTGAACGCACTTTAACACAGCTGGAGTTTTATTGCTGTTGCTGTTTTTTTCTTTCTTATTTTTTCAGGGCATTGTTAAATTTGTCAATAAAAACAAGTGCAGTTGAAAGGAAACAAAACATGAGCGACGAAAATAAATGCATGCAAGAGAGACTAAAAATAATAATTTCAGCTTGGCAGCAAGGACAACTGCAACAGAAAAAAGTCTAGTATATTTTGGTTTGTTGTATGTGAAAAGTAATATGAAGGTAAGTCCTTCTCTCTGAACCTCATCTAAATCAACCTTCCATGACAATATTGCTTCACAATCAAGTCAAATATATTTTAAAAATGTATAACTTTTTTTAAAGGAAAATATACATGTTTTAATAAACTCATAGAGAACGTCCATGTTTTGATGTACAATATACGAACTAAGCTTTTTGTTCTTTTCAATTTAAATCATGACTAAAAGCAGCCACAACGTAGAAATTGCTAATGTGCAGAAAACGCATTTTCCTTTGCTTTGTTTGTCCGTACGTGTCGGTGGGCATGTATGTGCGAGTTTTCATATTCTGTATTTTTATAAACACTGCATGCCTTTGTCAACACGCTTTTATGGCTGGTCCTTTGTCTTCGGCATTTTTGTTTTACAGCTTTGTTCATGCCCTAGCGAACATTAACGACAGCACACCCGCCACTCACACACACGCACACTTCAAGGTTCATTTGGAATAACACTTTTCATAGTCATTGCACACGATGCGCACTTTTGCAATAAAATAAAAAAGTTAAGAATAAGATTTATAAAAAGATGTTAACACATGCGGCGTATACTTAATGCACAGCAATATCTTCTATATTGCCATAAATATATATATATACTTATATGTTATGTGTGTATAGAAAATGCTCGGATTAAGTTTTTGTGCAACTGCCTTTATGCTGGTTATTATTGGGTAACACATTTAGATGGATTCACTTGCAATATCTTCTCTTATGGTAAAAATGGTTGTACATGGAGCTAAGCACAATTTTAATAAAATTAAGTGTAGCCCAGCAAATAATTTAAGACAAGACTTTACTGAATAATATACTTTTTCACAATGTTTAAGATTTAAAAAAAAAAAAACTTAGTTCTTAACAATAACGTACTTGAAACAAAGCCTCTATAAGCTCTATGAGATTACTCGTTAAGCAGATGGAGAGCCTATTAATAATATGATGATCTTTGTAGAGTAACATAATTTGTAAGGCTTTGTTGGAAGTTCTTGAAAAAATACTCCCACCGATTTTGCCAACGATAATGTTATAATCATTCAAAAAAAGCTTTCATACTTCAACTATCACATTTATGATAATTGTGTGCGATCGATAATTATGTGCAAATTGAATAAATTAAAAACGATTGGGCTACGCAACAAAATTTATTGTCAAACAAACAAATTTTTTTATTTCATTTTATTATGGATTATGCACGGCAATAATAATAAAGCGGTAAAACATACATTTTTTCAAACTATGAGGAATTGTTGCGAATTTTTGTTTTTTAATTTTTTTTTTACTACTAAAGCAAAGGAGCGCGTAGCGCGAGCAGCATTTGGCTTGGAAAAAGAAGGTTCCCGGTATCCCCTAGTCGGGAACTCCTGACTAGAGCATTTTGTTTTCTTGTTCAGCTTGTAAGAGACGCGTGAATTAAGTGTCATCACTCTTCGCAGTCTATAGTGGAGCTATGTACTCAATAAGTTCGTTTAATCACTCACCCGAAAAATGGCAAACTTTAAAGAAAAGAACATATTTTGTTTTAGTGAAAATTTTCGTCTGCAGTTAACAAGCACTTTTGTAAATGTTCAATCATAAGTTATTCTGTATTATTGTCATATACGAGAAATAATATTTCAAATGTTGCAATGTACAATTTGTTGTCAATTACAGATTGGTACTAATCAGAAATGGCTGATCCGTAAGTTGAAGAACTCGCCACAATACACAAATGGCAATAATTTTTTGGAAAACTGCGGCATTTGAAAATATACCCGCACGGGATACATAGCCGACTCTGTGATGTTTTGCCAGCCATTTGTTGAAGTGGACACTGCGCGCACACACACATGAACGGAAATACACACGCACACACAGTTGTGTGCATTGGTTGCCATGTTGATGCAAGTTTTTACGCGAATTGGAAGCTGCATTTGAAAAAACTTTTAGTTTCGCTTGTTTGCGTTTCCGGTGGTAGGTCCTTGTTGTTGTTGATGTTGATGTGTGCGGGCCTGGCGTCAATTTTTGTATCAATTAAGCGAAACGTTGTCTAGCCAGGCATGGTTGGTGTCAATTGACTGAACGTAACTGGCGAAAAAATTGCTGAGGCGGGTTATGATCTGACAATGGGTCAGCTACTCTTGGCACGTCTGCTCTATAAAGGCTATAAAAGCGTTATAATGTGATTGATTTACAAAATGTCCAATTCCTATTATAACAAGTAAGAGAGGCTCTAGTCGGGAGCTCCCGAACCCACTTATTCCAACACCCAATGCAGCTCACACTACGCTCTCATTTGTAGTTATATAAATATTTTATATATATATTATGTGCGAATACACACATTTTTTAAAAATCTCACATTTTTGATAAATGTGAAAAATGTTTACCCGATTGCAAATGTCATAAATTTTGTTTAGTTTTTTACTTGTTCAGTTTCCTCAAAGCCCACGCTTTCTACACGCCTCCTAACTTATTTGTCAGCTATCAACTTGCCGACACAACGTTGCCACATTACATTAAAAAATTTTTAAGTTTTTGGCCACGCTGTAGCAGCAAAATAAATAGAAAAATTTTTGCAAAGAATATTTAAACCCTTTTCTGGGTCTTTAATTCTACAGTAACTATATCTGATGAATATTAGAACAATGTGTTTTATATACTGGAAATGCATTTAACACATACTTATCTCATATGTTTTATGTGTTTAATTTCGATGGGTTTCCAACTTGTAAAAGTGGCTTATCGACAAGTGTGTACCCGGACATTTATTACGGAAATAGCTCTACGGAAGCTTGAAGCTACAAAGGCAATTTGAGTTGAAGGACTCACATTAGTAGTAGCTACACCCACAATTATGCATGTCAAATTAACTGTACTACAGCTTGTAATAGGGCAGTGACAAGGACAAGGGCGTGGCGTTAGGGCCGTAAGAGGAGACGGCAGTGTTGAACAGCCATAAATCTTAAATGCGACAGACTCAGCGAGCAGTTAGTAATGATGTTCATAATCAGAGCCGCGTGTAAAAGGAGAATGGCCAAATACAGATTTACATCCGGGGGTGAAGGAGTTAAGGCAAGGGTACAGCAAGGGTAAGAAGTGTATGTATATAGCTAGTTAGGGCAGCGTCTGGTGCTAAGTTGTGAGCCACAGCAACTTTTTTAATCACAACCCTCTGTGTGAGGGTGCATATGTATCCGTGTGTTGCGGGAATACAAGCTGTGAACGCTACTAATTTAACGGAAATAAACCAACACCGTTAAGAAGAAAAGCACGAATGAACCCCATGAATTGGACTCCAATTCTGGACTTCAGCTGCTGTGAAGCTATAAAAAGCGCTAAGGCCATAAATGCGCAATATTGTAAAGGAGGCATGACAAGGAATAAAGCCAAGCTATAATCTAGAAGAAGATGCGGTTGTAGATGTGGCAGTAGCTGAGATACAAGTTGATGGCTGGGTGACCTCGATTGCATAAGTACAAATTGACAAAGACATAGACCCCACTCATGTGCCTAATTCTGAATATTCTTTGCCGAGAGTATCGCGTTGTGCTAATTTATGGCCAAAATATATACAAGATACTCGCACTTTTGTCTAGTATTAACATTACATATTCTAAGCAAAGCCTTAAAGTTAAGCAACTAGTTTGCTTCTTCTTTTATTATTCTCAAACAATGAAATATTAATTTCTGCATAGCCCACGTGTTCATTGGATGTTAAGAATATAAGCGTGGCGTTTAAAAATGAGGGCGTCCCTCGTGTCTACTTGACGGCTAAATGCGATACAAAAACCTTGCTTTCAGCTAGGCAATAATCGCGGGTGCTCATAAAATATGAGGTTGAACAATATTATGAATGGAA